GTTGTTCAGGCATAACATTTTGGCTCCACTGACAAGAGAACAGGCTGTGTTTTCAAGTTAAGTCATGGCAGTTCACAGTCACAATTTCTACAGGGTCTGGCAAAGAATAAAAGCTTATACCCCAACTCAGTAAGTGGTGGAAACACCTTGCTCTTTCTTACACTGTTGAGTTCTCCTGTGAATTCATTGCTACTTAGAGAATCCTAACACGAGAACACAAAAAGAAATTCTAATACAGGCCATAACTAATTACCTTTAAAATGTATTTAGGAGAAAGAATTCAAAACCAAAAAGAAAAAAAAAAAAACCCCAAAAAAAAAAAAAAAAACCCTGTGTGGCTATGAATAGTGGGTTAAAATTTGGCTAATAGACAAAAATAAACAGCAACTGAAATTGTCTTGCAGTTTAACCTGTCAACGTTTTATTCTTCATGTACCAAATGAGAGGAAATGACAGAAAGACTGTATTTCAAGAAATCAGCTAAGCATATCAAAGTTTTCCCAAAGGCTTTGACATTGACATGAACAAAGTAAAATCTCTAAGTCTAATAAGTATAGCTAAGCTTAGTTACTCCCTACTCAGCTCCAGGCCTTAGGCTAAGAATAGCAATAAATATAAAAATATCCACCAGTTGTCATTCAACTCGTGCGCATGTGCCAGAATCCCTCGCTTCCTTTCCCTCGCGCTCTGAATCATCAACCAAATTTTCTCTCCCTGCTAAAAGTTTTTTAGCAATTCAAAATAAAATCAGACGAAAAGTTATTTCTTGGAAAGGTTTAAAAGTGGGTGAGATTCCTGTTTATGTCCTAGTCAAGCACAAAGACTAGTTGTTTGATAACCATGGTATTTTCTAAAATGAAGTTTTTAGAGAATAAAGCATATCCAGGATAGTTAATCAAACACAATGACAAAGAAAAGGACTTCTGTTTGGTCCAAAATTATTCTGCTATTAGGTCAATACTGAACCACACATGGACTGTCTTGGGCTTCTATACCAAACTGAGCAGTAGCCACCTAAAAATCTTCAAAACGGAACCATGGAGACCTCTGTTCTTTCTGAAGCTGAAAACATTGGACCTGAAAATAACTAAGAAGATTTGGAGGTCATGGTTTGATTTAGTGTATGCTACGGAGCCACGATGATGGGGAATCAGAAGCAAGGAGCAAGTTCAAAAAGCTGCAAGCACCAGGAAAAACGGGCTCAAAAAGTGTGTTGATTTCCCTTTAATTTTCAGGGTATACTGTGAGATTAACCCTCGTTCCATTGAGCTAAATTTTATCCATCAGCACAACTCAGAGGTCACTTAAAATCATAACTTCCTCTTAAACATTCTTATGATATTTACTAGCAAACACATTCCAAAAGAACAGTCACTTCCACTATGTAGAAAGAGCTTAATTGCTAAATTTAAAACTGACTACACTTATTCACAAATGAGGGCCTCATCTTCGTTGGTGACCCCGAGGTCTTCCTTCTCTTTTCCTTGACTCAGCAGCTGAGCTCAGCTTCCTCTCTCTGACCTTCCTTTTCCAAATGCTGGAGCACAGCAGGCATTTCTAGGTCAGCAAAGGAAACTATTACTGCCTTCCAGGAGAACAGTATCTTCTGTGTATTTGAAGGACTGAACAAGAACAACAAGTCAGAAATTCAGTGTACTAACCTCAGTTCTGACCCTGTCTAGGGCATGGCATCAACTGCCTCTTGTCTCTATTCTGTTAGGGGAAAAACCTCCACCATCCACCCCTATTTCTGATTGTCATCAGCCACCTGAATACCTGGCTCAGCAAAGCTTGGCAGAGCACATTCCCCCACCTTCCCTGCCTTGCTGGCTATGGCACTGTCTTCCTGCCCGAACCACAGGCTCATGAGAATGACCATCTCCTCATCCTTTCCATCCCATACCATGCATTCTGCCACCACTTATTTTTTAAAAATAGTTTTAATGACATAAAATTCACATATTGTAAAATTCACCCATTTAAAGTATGCAATTCAGTGGTTTTTAATATTATTCAGAGTTGTGCAACCATCACCACAATCTAATTTTAGAACACTCCCATCACTCCAGAAAGAAACCCTTTACGTATCAGGAGTCATTTCCCAAATCCTCCCCACCTCCAGCTCTAAGCAACCACTACCTTCTTTCTGTCTCTATGGATTTGCCTATATGGATATTTCACATAAGTATGCGTGGTATCTTATGACTGACTTATTTCACTTAGCAGCATGCTTTCAAAGGTTATCCACATTGTAGTCTTTATTGCTGAATAACACTCCATTCAGTACTTGATGAACAGTGGGTGTTTCCACTGCTTGGCTGCTATAAATAATGCTGCTATATACAAGTTTTTGTGTGAACCTGTGTTTTTGTTTCTCTTGGCCACCACTTATTTTTAGTACCCACTCTGCTCTTTGTCTCTTCTTCTCTGGTCTCAAGTCCTATTTAAAAAGAAAAAGGCTTAGGAAAGAGGCATTCACATACCCTGTGGATAGAATGAAAATGGTACTACTTTTCTGGAGGACAATTCCCCAATATCTATCAAAATTTTAAACACACACACTCTTCAACCTAGAAATTCCATTGCAAGTCCCCTACAAATAACCCCTTTACAAGTGTGCAGATCACGATAAGGATGTTCTCTGAAGCACAGTGCATAATAAATGCAGACATTAAGAAAATAAATGTAAATACTGTTCAATAAGAATCACGGAAAAGCAGTACAGTGGACCACTATTCTGGTGATTAAAATAAAATAAGGTAGAACTATATAATCGTATGAAAGACTGTTCCATACATTAATTAAATATATCAAATTACAGAAAATACATATATTAAATGAGTTCTCTCAGATAAAAGCAGATATATTGTGTGTGCTTGAATGTCCATATAAAATTTCTGAAAAGATACTTCTTTAA